AAAAAAAAAAAAAAAAAAAAAAAAAAAAAAAGAGATTGAATAGACCTTTGAAAACGGTCGATTATTGACTATAACGATTAAGCTACCAAAATGTTCCATCAAAGTGTAAAAAAATTTTGTCACTTGACAATACGAAACTGATGATGGTGCCTAAAATTTATCGTGTCCTATTAGCTGTACTTAAATAGATTTTAGCCTTGACTGACTGATGTAACAGTAGAAATCAGACAAAATTTGTCTTCGGTTTACATTGCCGAAACTTTATCCTTTTCCTGCCTTACGCTTCCCCCTTAGTCTTCTCCTTTGTCTTTTCAATTTCTTAAGTTGTCTTCAGTTACAGGCTTTATTCACTTCTGGTATCTGTAGTGAGTGACGGCAGTGTCGGAGACAACATCAACATTACAGACGTGGAAAAAGAAAATTTTTGCTTCTCCATATAGGTATCCGTAAAGATTGTTGTTTATTTGAAATAGATAAAGAAGAAGTATTCAGCTGTTAAATTCAGTAACAGGAATGCTTCTTTCAACAAAGCTGTATAGGAGAAAGTTTCTTGTTTGCATAATCCGGAACCACCAAAAAAAGAATTTGCCAACTCAGATCTGTTGAACATATGTGTGCACGTAAATTATCATCAGCAGTAGCAGCAAGGAACGGCAATAACAGTGATACTGATAGTCAACGGAACAGCATCTTAGACATATACTAACCAAGGATAAAGTATAAAGAAAAAATACAGGTGAAAAATGAAAAAAGATAAAAGTGAAGATAAAAAAAAAAAAGTAAGCAAGTAAATATCAACAACAACGAAAACAACAACAAATGTTTCCTCCTCTATGACAATTTTTTCCACCTTCTGATTTCGGGAGAATAAACAGTGGAAGAAACTTTCAAACATCTTTTCTACAAAAAAAACTAATGCACATATTGATCTGAATAACTGGTAATAAACACATTCTGAGAAAGCAATTTTAAAAATAAAAACAGAAGAAATAGAAAGAAATTGGAAAAAATTATTTTACCCACTTTCAGTGACATGAAAAATCTGGTTTTTGCAGGAAATATTGAAAAAAATTAACTTTTCTTCTTTGTCTTTTTAGCTTTACTTTACCGCTCTGTTTATTCTGTTTCCTTTTTTTTTTTGCTTTAAATCATTACAGGTATACCAACAGCAGTTGATATATGAAAAAAGGAAGAATTTTCATCTTTAGTCGCTAATAAAAACTGAGTAATAATAAGGCAGAAAAAAAGCAGAATGAAGAAATTGAGCCAGAACAAAGAAGAAGAAATATGTTCAATAAAAAAGAAAAACATTCAAAATTTTTGTGCATTTTTTTCAGACTAAAATAAAATTATAACTTAGTTAAAAAAAAAAATTTTTTTTTTCTGAAAAAATGTTTATGTGTTTGAAAGCAACAAAATAAAGTTGATTTTAAGCAGTAAAAAATGAACTGTTAAATGTCACTTGCTTAAATTAGTTGTAAAAGTACTTGGTGAAGTAAGCTAAAGTAAGCTTTTTAAGTTAGAACCCTTATTTTTGTGGTGTTCGCAAAGGATTAAAAACTTCCAATTTAATCTTAATTTGTTGACACCAAAAAATCCCGTTATTTGTTTATTCTCGTACTGATATAAAACAAATACTAAAAAGCACTGATTGTTTTTTTGGGACTACTTAAAAAGAGACAACAAAAGAAAGCAAAAAAAAAAAATTGAGAAGGAAAAAAACGAAATAGGCAAGAAGGAAAGGAGAGGACGGATGACAGAAGAACTGAGGCGAGTTGTTGAGGAGGAGGGGAAAGTTGGAAGAGGAGAAAACAATTTTGGTTCTCCTCCTTATCTTCGTTCTCGTCCATCTCCTTTTTTCGCTTCATAATTTTTTCTTTTTAATTATCACTTCGTCCTTTCTTCTGCCTATCAATTCTGACTTAATATATATTCAAATTAAATAAGATTTTGATAATAACAGATATGTACTCACTTGTGCATACTTATCTATATGCACAGTTTGCAAAGCAGCAACAAAATGAAAAGCAGTTTTAACTCATATCAAATGACCAATACATCACTCCTTTTCCACCGCTTCCATGTAAAAAAAAAGAATAAGTAAAGAAAAAAAGACTGAGGAGAAAAATGCTTTTTATTTGCAGCAATAAAATTCTATAAATTTTGTTTAAAAGTTTATTAATTCTTTTTTAACGTTTATTCTCTCTCTCTCTCTTTCTTCCAATTCTTTTTTTCGTTCTGTTTTTCAACTATTAGACTGTTTTTTTTCTTCTTCACAGACGTAAAAAAGTGATTTGTTTAATTCAACTTTTATTTTATTGAATAATGAAAACAGTGAGCTTAAATGCAACAAAAACAATAAGGAACAGAAAAAACATTATTGGTACAATAGTAAAAAAGGTGTAAATAATCAATTTTTTGAATAGGTACAAGTTTTTTTTTTTTTTTTTGTACGACGCCATTCTAAATAAATTAAATTTCAACTAATCTAAACTTATATGCTTAAAGCTTGGTTTATCATCATTATTACTGAGCCATTCAGTACGCTGTCTATCAGATAGAAGCTGTTCAAAATTCTTCCTCTCCTCTTTCTTTCTTATTCCTTCTCCATCCAAAACTTTGGTTCTTCTTCTCTTCACTATAGTTATTATACCATTAACGTTTTGTCACATGAAGAGCCTTAAGTATTCAGGTAAGGAAATCAGACCAGCAACAACAGCTCCTACAGCAACAATAATGATAAGTGTAAAAATTAAAAATAAAAGTAATAATAAGAACAAAAATTAAAATGATATTAAGCACAACAATAATAATAATGGTAATAATAATAGCAATAATGACGAATACTCGTTTTATGCTGTTTATTGACGTTTATAGCTTAAGCCAAAAGAAGGAAATACTTCGGCTCAAATAAAGGCTTTTTCGTCTTACGTAGTTAATTGTTTTTTTTTCGGCTTCGCTTTTTGCTTTATGTCTTTGTTTTGTCTTCTTCGCTTTGATATTACGTTAAATAATTATACACCGTAGTCAAGAAAAAGTGATTCATATGTTTTATTTATAAATAACTTAACACTGTTCCAATTTATTTATTTTTTTTTTTACATAATAGCTATTGAAAAATTAAGGAAGTTTTAATAGATCATTACTAAATTAGATTTGTAACAATGGAAAAAACCAAAAAAAGCAGCAGTTAATTTCTCTTTCGTTTACCTTCACTAAAATGGTTCTGCAATACTGATAAAGTTTTAATCCGATGACAATGCTTTATAAGAAAGTTACTCTTTCAATTTGTCGTCGACCAAACGCTGTTCAGTTATTATACAGATGCATTACGAAAAAATTACTTGTTCAATTTTGGTAAAATTTTCAATTTAAGCACTTCTGTTTTTATCATTGGTAATCTTTGTAAAAAACTTTTTTTATTACTTTTTTTTTGTTTTTATCTAAGCTTTAAAAAAAGTGAATATTAGTATTTGATGACTGTAACGTCATGGAACGTGGCTAGAAGATATGCACTTTTCATCAAACGTTCATATTTTGGCTATTGAATTTTTCTGTTCCTCGTTCATCTTTTCTTTTCTCAATTTTATCTTAGCAATTGCTGTCAGAGAATACATTCCCAGTTGTAATTATTAAGATGATGAAAAAGCTACAACAAAGACAAGATGAAAGGTTTTAATGAAAACAAAATTTGCAATTTAACATAGTGTGGTCAAACTTGGAACTTTCTCTTTTCAGCAGCATTCAAGCAGTACCTTAGCTGTCAAACTTTCTAAAAGCGTTTGAAGCTGCTTGAATTCTTTGACAGTGTCACTGCTTCAAGTTGCTTCAGCATATGCTTCCTGTTTCTGTATACATCAAGTTTAGACAACCAAAAAACGCAGTGTTTGATAATTACTTAAGCGGCTAGAAAATTACCTATAGTTTATAATCGATAGAAAAATCAGTAAAGCTTAATAGTTCAGACAACTTTCTATCTTCATCTTTTTTTACCCAACAGGTATTCAAA